TCCCTCAAATCACAAAGGCTGTTTCTGAGTGGAGGAAAGGAGAAAACAAGTTCCTTCAGGCCACAGCCCTGTGTCAGGTGAGTCCCCGGAGTAGGTGCGTTATGCATTTAGCAGCATGGGGTGGTACAGATCAGGGTTCTGCAAACCTTTTCTATACGGGGACAAATGTAAATATTTTAGGCTTTGCGACCAGCCTCTGTTGCCATGTTCCAATGAACTGTATTTAGAAAAGCCAGCAATGGGTCAGAGTTGAGGTAGGTTTGACAGACACCTCGCCTGTCATGCACAGAACCCTGGCCATCCAGCAACACTTGGGGCATGGTACCTTAGACCTCAGTGCTCACCGAGCACCTTCAGCCTAGCTCAGGTGGTGGGATCACTTGTGTTCAAGAGGGCCAGCCCAGGAGCCTGGTACCCTCCCAAACCTTCCAAAAAAAAAAAAGCAGGTCAATTCATTTCCCTGCTGTCAGACACTGACCCTTCAGGAGCATCCACCCTCTGTCAGTACCCTGGGTACAGAGGCAGCACAGGCACTATCCCAGGGCCAGAGGCTAGAGGCAGGAAGGTCCCAAGAGGACTGGGTCAGCTCTCTGCTGCCCTGTCCTAAAGGAGAGAGGTTCACTTCTTTGATGAGAACAGTAAAAAGGAGGATTCCCTATCTGCTTGGGTGAAAGGCTGCCATATTTACCACGAAAAATGTCTAGGCCATGTCAAACCAGGCTGTGACATTATGGTTGTGGGAAGGGTGGGCAGATATGGAGGGAACCCCAGGAGACAACAGTCTGCCCAGCCCCTCACTCAGCCTGGGACCCGCTATAGGCTCATGGAAGAGAAGGGCATGCGAGCCTTCTGGATACCCCAGTCAGCGTGTGGGATCAGCTCAGAGCCCAGATCCCTTTCACAATCACCTCCACCCTCCCTGGGCCACATTTTGTTGCCAGCAGCTAGACAGGGGCCATGAGGGCCTGGAGAGGGTCTGTGAGTCATCAGCTGGGGACGAGCAGTATGGGGGTCTTGCGTGAGGCATGCTGACACCCCCACAAGGGACAAGGAGACAGTGTTGTAGGCCCTCCTCTGCCTGAACCTCTCCCCTCCCTGGGTGCTTCCCTTCACTGCCTCCACACCCCCTACCTGGCATGGTCAGAGGGGGTACCTGGCTGGCCCCTTAGAACTCACCAAACCCCACGGGGCCAAGTGGGGGCCATCTGCTGTCTTCTGTCTTGGCACAAAGTCTGTCTGCCTCAGCTGCCAAATGTGTTAAGCCTCAGTTTGTGGTGGTAAGATTGGGTTTTCATCCAGTTCTGCCAGACAGCCTGACACACAGGTGTGCTTGGAGAGAACAGGCAGCACCCTTTGCTCAGGGCTTCTGGCCTCTCCTGTGTCCCTGGACCCTGACACTGTGTGGTCCCCGCCAGGTGACCCACTGCACATGCTGTAGGGCAGAGCCCACAGCCAGTAAGCTCAGAGCTCCTGATGCAGACACTGTCCTGTCCCTCTTTTCTTTTTGAGGACCTTAAATTTAGAGAAAGAAAATGAAGCTCAACTTCCCACTTCCTGGAATTGGCTGGTTTTGTGATTTTATCACTATGCTGCTGCTTTTTTTTTTTTTTTTAAATAAAAGAAAGAAAATATCATAAAGGTGAAGTCCGACTTGATCCCCCCCATTCCTCGTCACATCCACGTCACCCTTCCCCAGGCCACTTTCTCCTGACTTTGGTTTGGGTCCATCATTTTTTTTTTTTAACCTTTAACATTTTTAAGTGTACAGGTCAGTGGAATTAAGTATATTTCCATTGTTGTGAAACATCTCCTGGATTCTTTTCATCTTGCAAAACAAACTCTATACCCATTAAATAACAACTCTTCTTCCTTCCCCTCCCCCCAACCTGGGCAACCACTTTTCTACTTTCTGTCTCTATGAATTTTACTACATGGCAATGCTTCGTGTAAGTGGAACCAAACTATGTTTGCCTTTTTGTGACTGGCTTATTTCCCTGAGCACAAATGTCTGCAAGCTCCATCCATGTTGTAGCAGGATTTCCTTCCTTTCTATGGGAGTACGGTCTTCTGTTGCACATTCTGTTCAGCCATTTGTCCGTCGATGGACATTGGGTTCTTCCATGTCTTGACTGTTGTGACGACCACTTGGAGACCCTGCTTTCGTTCGTTCTGGTATCCACCCAGGAATGGGATTCCTGGATCATGTGGTATTTCTATTTTTGATTTCTTGAAGAACCCCCATACTCTTTTCCTTAGTGCTACACCAACTTACATTTCCAGCAACAGTGTGCTGGGGTTTCAACTTCTCCACATCCTTGCCAATACTTGTTATTGCCTGGGGTTTGGGGGCTTTTTTATTTTTTTAATAGAAGCCACCCTCATGAGTGTGAAGTTCCATCCTGTCCATCTTTATTCAGAAATCTAGTTCTTGAACACTTTTGAAACGCTGTGTGATATCTGCATATAAGTGTCACATACCACTCGGCAGGTTGCTTTTTCCACTCAGTGCTGGATGTCTGTTTTCACTCCATGTTGACCCACATAGATTGGGTGAGTCATAGTAACTGCTGACAGTCTTCCCTTGTACGAGTGGACCTGGTTATTTGACCCGTTCCCCTGCTGCTAGGCATCTCTCTTGTCTCCACTGCAGGTGCAATAGTCCCTGGTCTTGGTGGTCTCCCTCTATTGAGCTCTGAGCTTTTCCAGTGCAGCCCTCATCCAGCCCATCTCAGGGTCCCAGCATGCAGGCCAGGGGCCAGAGGGTGGCCCCTGGAATTTTGCCAGGTTGTCCACAGCAGGGACCCAGTGAGCAGTCCTGGCAGGACAGCCCCAGGGTGTCACCAATAATCAGCTAGATTTGCAACACACAGCCAAGGTTAGCAACATAAAAATAGTTGTTCTTTCATAAGGTGGTGTGGGCAGCACTTCTCAGGATGCCTTGTGGTCTGAAGGGGGCAGGTGGTATGTGACTCAGGGGGCCGAGCACCCGTCTTGTGCAACGTGTTCAGCCTGCACACGGGGCCTTGCTCTGGCTTCTCATAAGCGGTCTAACTTATAGAACTGCAGTGTGGTGACCCAGAAATACCACATGTGTGATCAGCTTGGCCAGGGTCATGCTCTGTGTGCCTGTACACATGGTGTTGGCAGTGAGATCAGCTCTTACCTGCTTCCTCTTCAGAAGTAACAGCTGACTCACACATGGTGGGCCCTCTGGGAGCTTTGGAAAGGTTCTTTCATTCACTAGCGACTTACAAAACACCTACTCAGCACTGTTCCAAGCACTGGGGACACTATAGCAAACAAGAAAAGGCTCCTACTCTCATGCAGCTTACAGCTGAGTGAGGGAAATAGGACACACGTAAGCTAATGATAGATAGACAAAATATTAAGTCCTGTAAAGAAAAAACAAAACAGGATAACATCTTAGAGAAAGGGTCACCAAACTTTTAGTGTGAAAGACCAGATACAGCCCGTGGTCTCTGTCACCACTCGTCATCCCTGACATTGGCAGCATGAAAGCAGCCACAGACAATTGTAAATGAATGAGAGTAACCGTGTTCCAATAAAACTTTATGTACAAAAAACAGGCCATGGGCCAGATTCGGCCCTCAGGCCATAGTTTGCCAACCTTGTCCTGGGTTTGGGGAGAAGCCACCTGAGCTTCAGAGACCCTTTCTGAAGAGAGATGAGAGCTGAGAGCCGAGTCACAGGAAGGAGGCAACATGGGACAGCCTACTTCAGGCAGGCATGATGGTGCCTTGCTCCAGATTCAATGGTGTAACTGTGTGGTGAGAGGTAGGCAGCCTCTGGCTCAGTGTGAGAGATAAAAATGGTGGAGCTTGCTTATGAGTTGAATGCTGAAGGTACAGGAAAGAGGAAATTCAAGGATGAGTCCTAGGTTAGGGTGAATGGTTCTGTTTATGGAAAAGAAGAAGAGCTGTAGGAAAAAGCTGGGTTTGTGTTGGGCATGTTGAATACAAGAACTGTCTTAGATGAATGGGTGAGAAATCGCATGGGCAGATGGACACCAGTGCCCATAGCTCAGAGAGAAGCCAGGACTAGAGGCTTGACCTGGGGAATCAGTAGGATTTGGGTGGTCTTCAAAGCCATGAGTCTGGAGGGTCAGGGGCCTACATAAAATCTGGGCCACCAACATTTTGTGCTTGGCAGAGGAGGACAGAGTGGGCCTCACACTCCATGGAGGAAGGCACTGTCTCCCAGGGTACAAGCTCTGGGCCCTCTGCTTACTGACAGAGCCTCAGTTTCCCTCCTGTCAGTGGGGGATTCTACCTCCTAGGATTGATGTGAGGGGTAAATAAGATAGTCATGTTTGACACAGAGAAAGCACTGAGCACATGATACCTGTGATGATGGCAGTGGGGACACTGAGCTCACCGCTGAGTGAGTAGGTTGCAGGTCTGTGATGGTTTGGCTTGACGGATGGGGGAGATAGTGATGGGTTAGGTATGCAGACACCTGTTGCCTGGCACTCAGTGTCCTGGTACATGTACTTGCACCCTTCCACCTGGGGCAGGCCCAAAGTGCCAGGTCCTTGGGGCCCCTGTAAGCCTGTGATGGGAGTTGGGGCTCAACTTGGGTGAACAGCATTGAGACATGTCCTACCTTGTATCCCAAAGCTCCCCAGAGAGTTGAGCCCCTACTGCCCACAGTGGTAACCTGGCTCAGCCACATATCCCATCCCCAGCTGGTTTCCTCATGCCCCTTACTGCGGAATCCCCCTTCATCTCTCTGAAGCTCCTTGTCTAAGAGTTGGCTTCTGGGACCCTGAGTGTGTTTGGTTGGGTTACAGTAGGGTAATGAGTGGTTTGTCTGGCTGGGTGGGTTCAGTGAGTTGGGGGTGGGGTGGGCAGAATGGCCCCACCACCATTCCCCCCACAACCCACCCCCCCCTCCACCACTCCTCCCACCTTCCACTCCCCCCCACCCCCTGGCTGTTCGCGGCAAGCTGCTGCCTCCCTCACCTGCTGCTCCTCCCACAGCCAGGCTGCCAGAGAAGATGGTGGATTACCTGGCCAACACGGAGATCAATAGCCAGCGCATCGCAGCGGTCGAGAGCTGCTTCGGGGCATCCGGGCAGCCTCTGGCCCTGCCGGGCCGGGTGCTGCTGGGTGAGGGCGTGCTGACCAAGGAGTGCCGCAAGAAGTCCAAACCGCGCATCTTCTTCCTCTTCAACGACATCCTGGTGTACGGCAGCATCGTGCTCAACAAGCGCAAGTACCGCAGCCAGCACATCATTCCGCTGGAGGAGGTGACACTGGAGCCGCTGCCTGAGACCCTGCAGGCCAAGAACCGCTGGATGATCAAGACCGCCAAGAAGTCTTTCGTGGTGTCGGCCGCCTCCACCACGGAGCGCCAGGAGTGGATCAGCCACATCGAAGAGTGCGTGCGTCGGCAGCTGATGGCCACGGGCCGCCAGCCCAGCACGGAGCACGCGGCGCCCTGGATCCCCGACAAGGCCACGGACATCTGCATGCGCTGCACGCAGACGCGCTTCTCGGCCCTCACGCGGCGCCACCACTGCCGCAAGTGCGGCTTCGTGGTCTGTGCCGAATGCTCCCGAGAGCGCTTCCTCCTGCCGCGTCTGTCACCCAAGCCCCTGCGTGTCTGCAGCCTCTGCTACCGCGAGCTGGCCACCCAGAAGCGGAAGGAGGAGGAGGAGGAGGAGCGGAGCGCGGGGTCGCCCCGGCAGCCGGCCTACCTGGCCGGGGCCGTCTGCGGAGCATCCAGCGGGGACGATGATGACTCTGACGAGGACAAGGAGGGCAGTGGGGACGGCGACTGGCCCAGCCAAGTGGAGTTCTACGCCTCCGGGGTCTCCTGGTCTTCCTTCCACAGCTGACCCGGATCTGCAGCTGTGTGGGAGGGTCTCCCCATCCCTGCTGCATCCAGTCAGACTCCATTGCCCGGGCCCCTGAGGGAACAGAGTTCCCAGGCTGCCCAGCAGCCCCCCGGGACCCTGCCCCATGGGTGGGAGGCTCAGTGGGAATGGCTCTTTCTCTCTGGGACCCCAGTGCCTTTGTGCTAGACATTGGCATCCTTCTGTTCCACTTCAGGTAATTCTCTTTCCTTAGCAAACCCAAACACTCCGGCCTCTTGAGAACAAATTTATTTCTCAGCGCTGTGAGCTGTAGCCCCAGATGACCCCTTGACCGAGACAACCCCAGGGTACCTGTCAGGACCAGAGGGAAGGTAGGACTGGAGGGAGGTCCCCTGTTGTCTGAGGACTTGCACCACAGCACCTGCCCTTGGGACAACCATACCCCCAGGGAAGACTGGGCGTCCTAGAAACCACGGTCTGCCCATGCACCTTGCTGACCGCCTTGCTGGCTGAGCCTCGTCAGGCCAGGCATGTGCACTTACCTTGAGCCAGACAAGAGAGCCGTGCTCAGGGGACCAACCAGGTTTGGTGCAGCCTGACTCCCACGGATCCAGGGCAGCCTGCCCAGGCCTCTGGCCCCATCTCACCTCTGTCCAGTTGTCCAAGTGTCTGATGCCTCTCAGTCCAGTCCTCCTCTCTTCCTGTGGCTGAGGAAGGCTGCGTTTTCTGTTAGGATTCTTAACTGCAAGTGACAGAAACTCCCCCCCCCCCCAAGACTGATTTAACAATAAAAAGAATGTTTATGGACTTGTGTGGTCAAAAAGTTCAGGAGGGTTTTGCTTCAGACAAGGTTCAGGGAGGGCTGAAACCATGCTAGGTGGCAAATGTCAACAATCGTGCACCACCCTGGGTGTTCCTGGGAACCCTGCAGCATAGTGGGTTCAGACATTCACACCACGTGGATGTGTTCTTGGCCGGTTCCCAAAGAAATGTCCCCATCCATCTGGGTACTCTGACCACAGCCCAACACTCTGACCATAGCCCTGTTCACTTGGTGTGAGTCATCTAAGTGGATGGACAGCGAGTAAACACAGAGCCCACTTGTCCAGTTCTGCCTGGGCCTTCTAGATTCAAAGGTCTCCCATGTGGCCTCCTGCCTGGCCTGCTCCTGGGGGCCGTGTCATTGAGTGGGAGAGTCCCAAGTGCAGTGATTGGCCTTGCTCAGAGTCAGTGTGTTGGGGCGGGAGCTTGAAGGCCAGCCTCCTGATGCCTGGCCTGCAGCTGGCCACAGGGTCATGGGTCCTTTGATGCATTTGCTTCTGTACAGTGGCAGAGGGGAAGGTCACTGTCAGCTAGAAGTAGTGACTCTGAGGCCAGGAGAGCATCCCCCAGCCCACATGGCACAGTAGGCTCTGACCAGGGTCAGAGATATCAAACCTTATTTTCTGAGCTCCAGGCCCTGGGTGAAGAATTGCCCTTTGGCCAGTTCTCAAATCCGTAGGTGCAGATAGAATCCTGAGGGTCTGGTTAGAATGCCACCTCTGGTTCAGCAGGTCGCTGGATCCCAGGAGCAGAAAGGCTCCAGCCCAATGAAGGAGGATAGAAGGGGTAAAGTGTGAGCACCAGGGCCTGCCTGGTGGCCTTTCTGCTCAGGCAGAGGGAGCAGGTGGGAGAGAGTCAGAGGTGCTTCTAAGAACTTGCTGGTTTTCAAGCCCTTGGCCTCCCTGAGCCACACAAAATGGTCCAGGTTGGTTCTGCCTGGGGAGAGGGCTCAAGGCAGGACACATCATAGGATGAGGGACAACTTCCTGAAAACAGATCAGATACCCTCTCATAGCCAGGCCAGGCAGCCCCACGCCTTCACCCCAGGGCTGTTGCTGAGGCAGGGGGTGCCCTACCTCCAGCTGCCCCCTAGGCTCTTCTGAAAAGGGGCTCACTGTCCACCAGGCTGCTGAGTTCTGCATTCTCCCTTCTACTTCCCCAGCAGGTGTGGTCCTTCAAGGCTCTGGAGTTGCCCCTAGTCAAGGCCACACAGCTGACCCTTGCCCTTGGCCACCACACCACCCCCACACATGCAGGAGGTCAGGAGTTCCCAGGCTGTATCGGTGCCTCTGCTCTTCACAATGTTTAGTTTCCCCAGAGTGAAGCTTGATGTCTGGCTGCAGGACTGGGTCTGCTGGGCCTGCGTCCCAGCCCTCACTTTCTCCTGGGGCTTTGCTTACAAGGCCTGGCAAGGACACAGGAACCGGCTGTCCTGCCAGCCACGTGCACCTGTCTACCGCCTGGGGATCCTTCCTCCCAGCTGCGCCTGGACTTCGAGTGCCTGCCAGAGGCTGCCCTTCAGCCCTGGGAGGGGCCTCCCTTGCCCTTCCTCCGAGGAGATGGAGGTGGGCAAGGGGAGGTTCTGAGGACCAGGCCCATGCCTATGAGGGGCACTGGAGCCCCCCACCGCCTCAACATTGCCTGAAGGGCCCTTGTGGCATCAGCCCTGACAGAAGTCGCTCCAGTGGAAAGTGAAGTCTCAGCAGTGACCTCAGGGCATTTGGAGACTGACTGACAGGCAGGCCCTGTAGAGTTTGACCTGCCCATGGGCAGGGATGCTGTGCTCTTGAAGGACTCTGAGGATACTGAGGGAGGCCTCTGCAGGCAGGAAGCTAGTGACCCTACCTGCAAGTTTTGACTATGGGAATTTTTAGATGCTGAGTTTTCTTAAATAGGGCCCACTTGCATGGGTGCTGGTCACAACTGCCAGAGGCAGGGAGCCAGGCAAGGGGTTGACAGGACCAGAGGACTCTTATCCCTCCTTGGTGATGGTGGGAGTAGTGGCACTGGTACTGATGGGGACAGCAGCTGCCACTTACTGAGACCCATCTGTGCACCAGTCTCAAAAAGGCAGAGCCGGGTTACCTAAGGCCATCCTGAGTCAGAAGGTGTGGCTTGAGTTCTGAGAGAAGGACAGACCAAGCCAGTGGCCAGAGCTCCCAGAACAGCTGTATGACCAGGGAGGGCTTCCTGGAGAAGGTGGTGTTTGGTTGAGCCTCAAGAAGTCATGATTTTATCAGAGATCCTAATCTCCATTAGGACTGGGATTCTGGGTTGTTTTATCAACTGCCCCTCCTGTCTCTGGCTCTGAACATTTGTTGCTTGAATGAATGAATCAAGTAAGAAATGGGGTTGAGGGTGTTGGAATAGAAGGGATGATGTTGAATTGGCCATTGAGCCTCACCTCTGGAGCCTCCAGTCAAGGTGCCAGATGAGAATTGTTGGCCTTGGCCTCTTTCTGGAGGGTTGAGGACCAGCCCCTCTCCCCAAACACTGACATCTGCCCTGTCAGCAGGGGCAGGAAGTTCCTTTCCACCCCCTCCGAGGCAGAGCTTTCTGGAGACATGATGTCAGACCAGTTTGCAGGAGGATGTTGGCAGGTTGGCATCAGAGGATTTCAGCTGGCTGGGCCTCTCCCCTGCCTCAGCCTGTTCTTGAGGACTCAGCCAGAAAGAGGAGACAGGGGATGTCAGGACCACTGCTGGGCTCAGCTACCGGGCAGACTAGGAGTGACTGCAAGCCTGACCCAGTTCTCAACCAGGATCCTGTGGCTCTCAGGCCATTCTTGCAAACCGAAGCAGCCACTTCCGCTGACCTGCCTCTGACTCCGCCTTGCAGGAAGTAGCCCTCCCGAGGGCTGTGGGCAAGGAAGAGGCCACCTCTGAGTCGGGCTTTCACACCTGACACCAGTAGGCTCTGGGCTGTCTTCCTGCTTGTCTCTGCACCTAGGCTCCCCTGTCTGAGAGGAGGGGGCCCAGCCCCTCCACATGTATGCTCTGCCTTAGCCCTGAGCAGACTCGGAGACTGTGCCGGGATTTCAGATCTTGGGGCTGAGTCCGTGAGGAGGAGGAGGGATTCTGTGTCACTAAACCCAACAGAGCTGGACCTCAGGCTTCTCTTCTCTCACTTTGCTGACTCTGAACCCAGCATCTGCCTTTGTTCATGAACTTGGGCCTCCCTGTGGACTGCAGTGCTGCTGCCACCTCTGCTCTGCAGCCTTCCTGGTTGTCCCAGAGCAGCATGGCTGTCCCATCCATGCTCCCAGAGCACCTGCAGACCCTGCTGTGGCTCCCAACCTCCATCTGTCATGAGGTGCCTCAGTAGGCCTGTGCCCATCAAAGCTGGCCTTGGAGTCCAGGCTGCTTGACGGCAGGGGGACCACTCATTCATCAGTCACCTACAGCCCTCACATCCTCAGCAGAGTTCTGTAGGTGCCTTTCTTTGGAGGTAGCCTTGTTACTTCCCCTAGCTCCTGAGGGATGATGGCAAGATACTGGGGTCACTGGGACCTCAAAGCCCCTGTGTCTGACTCCAACGGCTTCCCCTAAACAGCTGATCCTGTCTCTACTGGTGCCCGCACCTGGGCCTTTGAACCAGACACTGGGTGATCTCCTGACCCTTCCCTTTCCTGTCCCCCCTCCCACCTCTTGTGCCTTTCCAGGCAAGCCAGGCCCAAACTGAGGGAGTCTGTGGTGCACGGGGGCACCGAAGGAGCTTCTTTAGGGTCCTGGGAGGAGTAGTTCAGCCAAGACCACAGAGGTGGGCATGGGCCAGACCCCACAAAGTAGTCTTTATCCCAGTGGAGAGGGAGCCCGGTGCACACACGTGCATACACACATCCCTTCTGCCCCTCTCAGCCTGACTCCTACTTTCCCAGATTCCCCATGTCAAAGCCTGACTAGCTTTTGGAGCAGTGTGCAAGGGAGGAATAGGAAGTGAGGGCAGTTGTGGGGAGGGTGTCACACAAGGAGAGTGAAAACCCACAGAGTCTCTCCAGAACTCCCCGCATTTCCTCCACTATTTGGGTTGGGGATCTGAGGCCCCATGGGCAGGTGCACCCCTGACCACTCACAAGTCAAGCTGAGGGCCAGATGAGAGGCTGTGGCCAGAGCATTGCCCCATGTCCCTCCCAGAGTCCTGTCTCCTGCCAGCTCCCCTCACCACCGCAGAGCCCAGCTCCGACTGGAATATTCCAATGCAGAAAACAGAAAGGCAGGCAGGCAGGGAGGGAGAGAAGAGGGGTGGGGGAAGACCAAGCCAGACATTTCTGGGCAAAAACAAGGGGAAATTTCAATCCCTGGAGTGTCACTTCAGGGGGTCCGGCCAAATGTTCTGACCCCAATGAACAGACTTTCCAGAGAACGCTTTCTGCGCACAGTGGCTCTGAGCTGGGAGGGAGGGGAGTCAGGTGCCTGAAGCCAGTGCTGGTGCTGCCCATTCTTTCTCTGCACAGCCCGGCTTAACAGGACCCCTGGCTGGCCACAGCAACACCCAGGGCTGTGGAAACCCAGGGTTCCAGGATTCTGGAACCACACATACACAGACACACACAGACACACAGACACACACACACACACACACACCACCACCACCACCACAAGTTTCCCTTTGTGTCTACAAAAGGAAACTTTATGTGGTTTGCAAATTGCCAACATTCTTAAAATGCCAAAATGCCTTCCTTTGTATCCCAACCAAGCCTCCTGGGGCCCCCACCCCCACCCAGATGTAGATGAATCCTCTCAGCCTTGGGCCAAGCCGCCACTTGCTAATCTCTTTCTCCAGGCTTGGGCTGGAGTTGGTCTAAAAGAGTGGAGTCAAGGCAAAGGTGATCAGTGAGAGGGAGTCTGGGGGGTTGGGGAGGGTGCTGAGGTGCAGTCATCACCCCAGGCTCCCCACACCTTCTGTTCTGTACTCATGTCTTCACCATGAAACACCAGCCTGCTCACAAC